ACCCCAGCACTCAATCCGCTGTGTCCCCTAGCTGCCTAATGTAAATCCAGGTGCTCTAACTACAAATCCAGAACTATTTCCACGACCTTTAAAAATAAGATAATATGTGGTTAAGGTCAAAAATAAGAGGCACTCAATAAACATTTTCAAAGGAATGAATATCCTCTAGCGTAGTTTTGAATGGCATTACACATTAAAGAAATAAATGAAAATCTTTCTTACATCATCAGCATCTTCACTTATTCATTCATTCATGCCAGAAGCATTTATTAAGCACCTATTGCATAAGGGCCTCATGAGCAGGGATTGTTTCATTCTTCATATCTCTATCCCCAGCACCGAACACAGTGCCTAGCACATAGCAGGTGCTTTAAAATAGTTGTTGAATGATGTCTTGCAAGCAGAGAAGCAGCTTGGAGTAGAATACAGAAGGCTGTCCTTGGTGTCACCAGGGCAAGTCATTTCACTTTTGCCTGCCTCAGTTTCCTCAACTGTAAAATATAGATAATAATAGTACCTACCCCACCAGGGTTATTTTGAAGATCAAATAAGACCAGTTTTGTAAAGCTCTCAGTAGCCTTAGGCAACTACGGTACAGATAACTTCCAATCTGTATCAATGAAGGAAGTTTCCAAACTGAGAGTTCCCTACACAGGACCAGAGTAGACTAGACCTCCCTCGTAATAGGTAAAGGCACCGTGCTGGGACCTGGTGATAAAAAGACAAAAATGGAATACTCCCTGCCCTCAAAGAACCTTCATCATGATGTGCTTACAGAGTTCCTAACCTTTGTCCAGGGTCTTCGCTCTCTTATGTAAACTGCAATCTTATCCAACTAACAACCTCAATGGAATCTCAGCCGGCCAGAGGACCACGCTTTGCTGGGATCCTGAACGTCTTTCTACCCAAAATCTACTGAATGGGCCAACAAAGAAATGATCTTTAGTATTGGGGTTTTCAGCCTCCCTCTCACTTAGGTTTCATCAATAAGAACCAATCATTACTGCAGATCCAGTCACATGCTCCTCTCAGCTGCCAAAGGTACTTTCTTAGCAAAAAGTCACTTCTCAGTAAGCTCCACTGGTTCCCTATGCCCTCTGGAATCAAATTAAAATCCTTGTTTAGCCTTTCAGGCCCTTCCTGCCACCCCAGCCTTAGAACGTACATATGTCTTTCCATCATTCTATTTCCCAACTTTACATTGGCCTTAGTGTTGCTCATACAAGACGCTGCACCTCCCCACCCCATTCTTTCATCCTAGCTGCCTTCATGGTGAGAATACCCTCCCTCTTCACGGCCACCTGATGGCTTCCCTGGTTTCCTTCAAGACTCAGCTCATATCCTTTCTTCAGGAGGTTTTTGCATTCCCTCAGTGGCTGATGCCTTCCCTCTGAAATTACTATCCATCTACATCCTTTCTTCCTTTTTCTTCCTTTTTTTCTTCTTCCTTCTTTCTTTTCTTTTCTTTCTTCCTTCCTTCATCCTTTCTTTTTCTTCTTCCTTTCTTTTTCTTCCTTCCTTCCTTTTCTTTCCTTCCTTCTCTATATATACATATAGAAAATATCTATATATAATATATGCAGCATAGATAGAAGATGATCTCAGAGGGAAGATATACAGCATAGGTGTATATATGATATACATCATATATATGATATGTGTGTACATACATACATATAGGTGTGTATATGTATACATACACACACAGTTGTTTGTATATTGTCTCCCCAATTCAAATGTGAGCTTGTTGAAGGGAGGAAAAATGTTTTTGCCTTTCTTCACATATCCCCAGTACTCAGCACAGTGCCTAGCACACAGTAAGCATCTAATAAGGACTTGTTGACTGTCTCTAAAACAAGCCAGCAATGTGAATTAGGAGGGGTTGCTTTATAGGGTGGCTAAGAAAATAAAACTTTTATAGGGTAGTTTAATTCATCTCTCCCAGGTCTCCTCCCCCCGCCCCTCCCTCAGCCTCCAAGGGATTAGTTAGGCTTTCAGACATCACCTGCTAGGGAATCATCAAAGACTTGCAATCTGATCAAGGACCCCTGGGTCCAAACCTTCCTTTTTTGAAAAGTCCCTGGGTGGGTCAGACACCACCACCTTCATCTGAGGAATGAAGAGCAGGCTCAAACAGCGTCCAAGTTAGTTAACCTCTCAGTGCCAATGCTAAAGTGTCCATGGGCTTGAATTGCCCATCTGCATTGACAGGAAGGAGTTTCCATGCACACCAGTATACTGCACCCATGAAATAATAAAACTGGACAAAAAAAAAAAACCTGTTCTGATCCTTACTCCTACCTTAATGTGGAGAGTATACTGCACTGGATTAGGCACCAGAAGACTTGGCTCTGTCTCCTTAGCCTAGCCCCCTCTCTCCTCGGGTTCTGCTCATGAGGGTGATGATCCTGGGGTGGTGGGGTCATAGATCAAGAACAGGAAGGGCACTCAGGTGTCCTCTAGTCCCATGCCTTTCATTTTACACATGAGGGGACTGAAGCTCAGGTGGGCTAAGTCACTTGCTCAAGGTCACCCAGGTTGTAAGGTGTCAGAGGAGTCAGAATTTGAACCCAGGTCCTCTGACCATAAATCCAGCACTCTTAAGACTCCATTGAAGCATTTGCATTGGCTCCATCCCAGAGCCTTTATGAGGCAGCCAGAGGATAATGTTAACGATGACCATTTCACTTCCTCCAATAGAAGCCGGGGGGGGGGGGGGGGGCTGTCCTACTTTTTTACTTGTATTCTTATTGCCCATGAATAATAAATGCTTGTTGACTCATTGTTTGAGCTCGTATTCAATCTCTCTGAGCCTCAACTTTCTCTTCCACTCACCAACCCACACATGCCTGTTGTGAGGATCAAATAAGATCACGTATCTTCGTGTATGTAACACTCGAAGAATGACCTACTATCAGTAGGAAGGATTATAATCAGTTATAATTGAATATTATAATCCTCAGATGTTCTAACTGGCATTGATGCGGCATTTTTATGTTTACAAAGAGATTTATCCACATTACATCATCTTCCTGGATCCTCCCAACCACTGCTTTGGATATCATTAGCCCCATTTTAGAGATGAGGAAACCGAGGCTGAGAGAGTCTTAAGAGATTTGCCCAGAGTCACTCAGTTATGAGAATAGGAAACGGGTATTGAGCCTCAGTCTTCTGGACTGCAAGTCCAGCACCTTCTCCTCCAAGCAGTCAGGTGGTGCACTGCATAGAATACTGGATCTGGGAATCAGAAAGGCCTGAGTTCAGATCCTGCTTCTGACCATTACTAGCTGTGGGAGGCTAGGAAAGTCATTTAATCTCTGTGCCACAATTTTCTCATCTGTAAACTGGGGATAGTAATAGCTATTATATAATGGGGATAATAATAATGATAATAATAATAATGAGGAGGAGGAGGAAGACTAGGACAGCTAGGGGGCACCATAGTGCACAGAACTTTGGGCCTGGAGTCAAGAACTCTTCCTGAGTTCAAATCTGGCCTCAGACAATTCCTAGCTGTGTGACCCTGGGCAAGTCACTTAACCCTGTTTGCTTCAGTTTCCCCATCTGTAAAATGAGCTGGAGAAGGAAATGGCAAACCATTCTAGTATTTCTGTCAAGAAAATCCAAATGAGGTCATGAAGAGTCAGACATGACTGGAAAATAACTAACAATATCCTCAGAGAATTGTGAGGACCAAATGTGATAATACTGGTAAAGCTCTTTAAAAACCTTCAAGTCCTATATAAATGGTAGCAATCATTATTATATTATTATTATATTATTATTATTATTGCATCACACTGTCTCTAGCATCTGTTTGAGAATGTGTTTAACAGTAATGGCTTAGCCTTTAGACACAGAGCTAAAAGGGACCTCAGAAACCATCTTGTCCAATGCTTTCATTTTATAGATGCTATAATTAAGGATCAGGGAGTTTCACCAACTTGCCCCTGGATTGTCTTAGAAGGGTGATCTGAACCCAGGTCTTCTGATTTCAAAGCCAGCACACTGTCCACTGAACTACACGATTCCCTGCATAGGTGGACATAAAACCAGGGAGACCTCATTTCAAATCCCACCTCCAACATTTACTAGCTGTGTGACCTTGGGCAAGTAGCCTGACCTCTCTGGGCTTCAGGCAATTTATGGACAAAATCACAGTTCATTGAGGTAAAGCTTTGCACGTTGTTATGCATTCTCTTAGGCTAGAAAGTTTTTAAAAAAGTCTTTCCATTCCCCCTTCACCGTCACACCCATTTTCCCCTCCCTTTCAGAGTCACCACAGCCACAGAGAAAACTCTGGCCCCAAGGAGAATCTCTGAGGTATCTGTTCCCTCTCCTACTGTGCACTGTGCCATAGATCTTTGAAGGAACAAAGTCGCCTGGAATTTTTGTTCCTCTTCCACAGGCTTTTCTTACAAGACAGCAGCAAGTGATCCTAACATGCCCCTGAAGAATGCACCAAGGACAAGGCCAGGAACAAAGACACCTGGTGCTAGCCCCAAACGGTCCTTCACTAGGTCTAGGGCTTTGGGTAAGTCATTTGTGCTGTGTAATGAGGGGATGCACAAGATGGTCCCCTAAGATCCCTTCTAACTTGGACAATTTATGAGTATGTCGAGAATAAACAACTATTGGACTTTGGTAGTAAAGGAGCAAGGGCTAGATTTGGAGTCAAGTCAAAGGACCTGGGTTCAAATCTCAGCACTGGTGCTACCATGGAACCTTGGGCAAATCACAATCTCTCTGGGCCTTCATTTTCTCATCCACAACATGTGAGGGTTGGATATTAAGGGAGATGTTTGCAAAGCGCTTTGCAAACCTTAAAATGCCTTAGTTATTACTATTGCTATTATTTTTATTATTCTGACCTCTAGTGTTCCAGCTCTAAATCCCATGATTTCTCATGATTCTAGTTTTTGGTCCCCCATGGGGTATCACAGTCTGGCCTCGTTCATCTCATCCACTAAGCCCACCCCCCACCAAAACTGGCGACCTACCTGTCAAAGACTACCGCAGAATAAGCCCGCTCGGCAAAGACAACATCAGCGGCCCAGAGCTCTTTGGTGGTCTTAAGGCCCCGGCCTTTGCCTTCTGAAGTGAACACTTCAACTTTCTCCATGCTTCCTATTGTCATTGCAGAAACCTCCCTGGCCCAGCACAGCAGATCTTAGCTGCTGTTATTTCAACACCTTTGGCATCCCAAAGACCAAGTCCATAAATGGTCTCGCCACCGCCCCTTCCCTGCACAGCCCTCCTTCCCACCCCTCACTCACCTCCTCCCCCTCTGCCTGCTGCACCACTGTCCACAGGGTACGGGGTAGGGTGGGCAAGGCAGAGGGGAGGAAAGGAGAGTATCCCCACCCTGACCCCAGCTGTCAGGACCAGTCAACGCTGAAAAAGCAAGGAGGGCTCAGGGACTAGCTCTATTCACCACTTGGATCTGAAAACATTTAGCATATGCTTTCCCAAGCTGTGTGTACATGTTTGGAAAGCCCAGACCTTAATTCATACTCCTGCTTTGCGAAGTGCTGGTTCACTGGGATATTTTTAGCAGCCAGATGCTTCTGTCTATCAGGAGGCAACAGCTGAAACAGTGGCCTGAGGAAAAGTGGTATTTGCTGGGGCCCTTTCTAATACCATGATCAGGAGAGATCAAGGGATTTGAGCTGGGGGGGAGAGGGACAGCAGCTGCTGACAAGGGCACCAAACCCTCCCCCACTGGGGATGTAGGAGCCGGTGGAGACAGAGCTAGAATGGAAGTCAGAGAACCTAGACCCACATCCCAGCCTTGTCCTCTAAGATCCATGTGACCTCAGTCAAATCACTTAACTTTCCCGAGAATATAAATGGTCTCATAATATCATAGCTCTAGAGCTGGAAGGGACCCCAAAGGGCATCTACTCCAGTCTACCAATGGGTCCTCTCATTTTACAAATAAGGAAACTGAGGACCAGGGAAATGAAATGACTTTGCCTGAGGTCACAGAGGCCGGATTTGAACACAGGTCCCTAGACTCCAGCTCTGGTGTTCTTCCCTTGGGTACAGCTTCCTCATCTGCAAAATGAAAGGGGCTGGAAAAGATGGCCTCCAAGGTCCTTGGCTGTATGCATATAATCCTCTGGGATCACTTTTCTGTGTGTGTGTGTGTGTGTGTGTGTGTGTGTGTGTGTGTGTGTGTAGCAGTCTTGACCTGTGACTTCATCAGTGTAGAAAACTCCTGATAGGAAAACTCCATCTGCCAATGTGGAAGGCAACTTAGAATCTTAGGCAGTTGCCTGGGTCACTGAAAACTTAAGTGATTGTCCGAGCCAGAATGTGTCAAAGTCGAAGCCAGTTAGGTCTTCCTAACTTTACAGGATCACAGATCATAAATCTAGAGCTAGAAGGGGCCTTTAGAGGACATCAAGCTTGATCCCCTAATTTTACAGATGAGGAAATTGAGGAACAGAAAAGTTAAGAGGCATTTCTTAGGTCATCCAACTAGCAAGAAGGAGAACTAGGACTCCAAATGTGGCACATTGTCCATTGTACCACACGGCTGATACTCCATCTGACACCCCATTATCTCCCCTCTTACAGAAGGGAAGGGATCTCTTTCTGAAATCAAAATGGAACACCCTTGCATTTCAGAAATTTACTTATTTTGCATTTTTAGTACTTAACTGTGGCATCTCAAAGACCTCATTGTCCTATCTAGAGCAAGGGTGACTTAAGGGACACATAGGATTATAGTAGGAGCATCTATTATAGCTGGAAAGGAGCTGGGAGGACATCATTGGAGTGCCGTGTTCAAGAAACAACAAAGAGGCCAGTATAGCCAGATTATAGAATGGGGGGGGGCAAGACTAGGAAGGGAGGAGGGGACCAGGTTGTGAAGGGCTGTGAATGACAACAGAGGATGTCATATTTGATCCTGGAGGTATAGGGAGTCATAGGAGTTTAATGATTAGGAGGGTGATGTGGACAGATATGGCAGCGGAGTGAAGGATGCACTGGAGTGCTATGGTAGGAACAATGGATCCTAAGCCCTCACTCCCACTTTTATGAGAGTTAGGTTCCTTTTGCCTTAAAAGGTATTAAAACCACCCTCAAGACTCAGATGATTTGGGAAACTAAAGACCAGAGGACCACCATGGGCAACTCAGAGGCAGGGGAATTTCATTCAGCTAAACTTGGGGTATTCTGAATGCCTATCCTTAGTGAATAAACAACCTTCTACTTGGCTAAGGAAAGCTCTTTGTTAACTACTGAATAACCCATAGCCTTGCTGCATTCCAGTATGGGACTTAAACCACCAGGAGATTAGCCTAAGCCAGGCCCAGCCCAGAACAAATGGAAAGAAACTTAAGGCAGGAAGCCAATTAGAAGGTTCTTGATCTGATGGCAGTGAAGCCTTGTACCTGACTCTTCAGGCTTGACAATCTAGAAAAATAAACATCCAACTGGTCACCCATTTATTATACAACTATTTTAAAGTCTGTCAATCCTTGTCAACCTAATGGGTTATTTACTTTACTATTTAGAATGTTTTGCCTGGATGGGGGAATAAAGTCTTGGGTGGATATGAGAAGGAAAGGTGCTGAACTGAATGTAAGGAGTTCCTCCCTGAGCCCTCCCTACATAGATGAAATCGTGTGTCTGCTTTTTAAAAAAAAAAAAATCAGTAAGCAATAGATAAAGTGGGACCTTGTGTTCACTCCACCTCTCAGACAAGGTGTGAAAATGTGTCCAAGGGTCTTGTTTGTTCCCTTCTCCTGTTTCCATCAAGGACATCCCTAGAACATATGTGAACTATTCTCACAATGATTTTGTAAGGATCAGAAAAAAAAAGACCAGCATGGGGTCCAGAGTAATTGATGTCTTTTTGAAAACCATACCATGGAGACAGTAATATCTAGGATTTTTTTTGTACTCTTCCCATCTTTGAGAGATCTTCTTAAAAAATCAATCCTTGAGAGCCTTTCCCATTGTAACATTCTGAGGACAGATTTTTTTCTATGTGCTTTTGCCTTCTTTATATTCTTAAATACCATTTCCACTTCCTCTTATAGCCTTTAGGGTACTTTTGTACTGGAATGTTCCAAATAAGTCCAAATAAGATGGTTCCCCTGCCAGTAACAGTAAATGGACAGCTATAAAAATGCTGACACATCCGTTCCATTTTGCATCTATCTGTTGTCTTCCAAAGATTCTTGGGTTGATGTGGTTGAGTTAGGTCTCATATCAAGCTTTCTATAGGTTTCACCCTCCACTACCTTCCATTCTTTTGTGATTTGGACTTAGGTCTCAGATTTCACAAGTATTTATTAAGTACCTACTAGCACCAGGCACGTTCAAAGGGATTCACAAATACTATCTCATTTTATCCTCAGAACAACCTTGAGGGGAAGGTGCTGTTATGATCTGTATTTTAGAATTGAGGAAACTGAGGCAAACAGAGATTAAGTAACTCGCCTAGGGTCATAAAGCTAATAAGTGTCTGAGGCAGGATTTGAACTCAGGTCTTCTTGATTCCAAGTCCAGGGCTCTATCCATTCTTCCACCTTGATACAACTGTGAAACAGTATTATTTACAAGCATATATCCATGGTTACAAAGAGCTTTGTACACAAGATCTCATTTGTCCCTCACTATGCCCTAAGAGACAGGTGGAACACCAGAGTTTAAGCCACTTGTTACAGTTACCCAGTGAATCAATGGCCAAGTCAGGCCTCAAGCCCAGCTCTTCTGACTTCCAATCTGGTTCTCTTTCTGTGACAGCCTCTCTGGGAGTATTCCTTTAAAAATACACTGGGGTCGAGTGAGGCCCCCACAAAGCAGGGACAGACTCTTCCTTCCAGTAAGTGGGCCTCGGATAAAAATAGCAATGCAATAGCAGGCTTCCCTCTCCATGACTGATAATGCCTGATAATGGCAGTCCGTGAGAGCCTGGAGACACTGCCTCAGCACCAGGCAGGAGCCTTTTGCTTGAAGTGTATACATCACTCAGCCTGGTGCCAGACAGACATACAGGGATTGTTTGCTAGGTCTCCTGGTCTTCATCTTTGTTTGAATGGCCCAGAACACACCTACCTTGGAATAATTAGTTTAAAAAGCACATGCCTTTTGAAGGATTTTTAGTCCTTTGGAGAATATAAAAGGGAGTGTTGGGGTTACATGTAGGTGTGTACGTAGTGTGCACATCCTCAGAAGGAAGATGGGCTGCTATCAGCCTTTGAAATATGGATGTACTAGATGGCTATGGGAGGACCACTGAACCACTGACCTTACAGCAATCCAAATGGTTTTATAACTGAGAACAAGATTAAATTAATAGTAACATGGGATCATAGATAAGAGGGAGGCATTCCTAACATTTTTCTGTCATGTCAAGTCAACCAAAAATTTAGCCAGCACCTAGTATGTGCCAGGCACTGTGATAAGTCCTGGGGTTATAAAGAAAGTCAAAAACCAGTGCTCGCTCTCTGGTGATGCCCATGGGTCCCTGCTAGGCAATACAAGTTTAAATGCATAAAATAAACTACACAGGTTACAAAGGAAACCAATTATATTGAAACAGTTATGAAACATGTTTAAATTCATAGACTTCCTGGGCTACAGCTCTAAGGGACCCCAGAGATCCCTGAGGCCCAGTCTCCTTATTTCTCAGCTAAGGAAGCTGAAGTACAGAGAGCTGGAGGGATTTGCCCCCACTTGCACAGGGAGGAGCCAAACATTTAGAGCTGGCAAGGACTTAGAGGCCATCTATTTCAACTCCTTCATCTTACAGATCAGGAAACTGAGGCCCAGGGAAAGAGATGGTAAGTAACTTGTTAAAGGTCATACATGCAAGTAGGATAAGTCCTCTGGAAGAAGAAGGCTGAGAGAGCTTCCCTCACTCCATGCTTCCAGATGCAGATTTAAACCCAGGGGTACCTAGGTGGTGCAGTGGATAGAGCTCTGGCCTTGGAGTCAGGAGGATCTGAGTTCAAATCCAGCCTCAGACATACAGCATTGACTGGCTGTGTGACCCTGATCAAGTCACTTAACCCCAATTGCCTCACCAAAAAAAAAAAGATTTAAACCCAACCTTTCATGTTTCCTCTTTCAACTATTTTCTGTTTTCAATAGTATTTTAAGTTTAATTTTTTTAGATAAAAATTTATTCTCCATTGTCTTACAGATATGTCTTAAACTGTGATCAAAATGCACTATGGGAGAAGGCCCAGCTCTGGGGCAG